ACATTTGTAGCTGTATCTATTTAATTTTTTTTAGATCACTGATGGGTGTTTGGAGGAGACTCTATTACTTTTGAATGCGTCATCATGTGGGAAATTACACAAATAATTTAATTAAAGGTTTTTCTTATCAAACAGTATTCAATTGTATAAAATGCTTAAATGGAGAAAATGTACCAAACAGAAAGTAAATTGCCAAATGAATCATCACAGTCGCCACGTGGAAGTGATCAGCTGTTTCGAAGGTTCCAATTTTTTGCAAATTTTGCATTCTCGTACTTCTGTGGATATTTTGTCTCTTTGAGGGCAAATGCTTCTAAATTCTTAGAATTTTTGCCGCTGCATAGTTTTGTCCGCTCAATACGAGGTGTGTAATTTATGGAGAAACATCTGACTTAACGATACGTTCCGCTGACAACAAATATACAACTCAACAGCTGATAGTTTAAACTCGATTTAACCCAGCCAGATTACTTTCACTAAGGGCCAGGAAACGGAAGACAAAAAAAATAATCATCCATTGACACCCTGAGCATGCGTTTCCTCCGAGCTTACGTCAAAAACCTCTTTTTTCACGCCATCTGTGGGTCATTAGTGCTAAAATTGGAAGAATACATTCACTACCGGTATTCGGACTCGCCTCCGATAAATGAGGTATACTCGGGGTTTTGAAATTTTTAAATCTAGTCCTCCGCTCTACCAGACTTCTTCTACTTCGTTTTTTTTTACCTGCAAAAAAAACAACTCAAAACCAAGCTGAAAGTCTGGTACAAACTTGTGTTTTCCCGCCATCTGTGAGTCATTATCGTTAAAATTGAATACAAATTTTCCCTACCAGTGTTCGGAGTACCACTCCAATATGAACTCAGGTTTAAAAAAAAATATAAATCGTCCCTCTCCTCCGCTTGAATTCAAATCTATTCTGTTCTTTCACTCATGTTCCGCCTCTCTTGGGCCACTTTTTAAGTCTTCACCCCCCGAGTTTCAGTAAAATATTGAAAGTTAAGCAAAATTTCACTGATAAAAAGAAACTCGTTCATAAAAATATAAATGAGTCAATAAAGTACCTTTTTGATACATGAATATAGAACTTGGCGGATGAAGAATTTTTCTTAAGTTGTTAAGTTTCATGGACATCTGCTTATAATTTTTTACTTATATACGGCTAACACCACCTTGTTAAATACACCTTGCTTGTACTGTTTAAAAAACCTCAAACCACAGTCTGGACAGCAATAGTTAGTGATGTGGTCAAGTTCGATTTGAGATGGTTAACTTTTTGGTGGGGACATGGTATTAGGGTTTATTTGCTTTTATGTAAGAAATTACATCGCCGTCGGGAATGCGTTATCTTGTAATATTTCATGCAAGGCGAAATTATACAAGGGAACCGCAAACTTCGCCGAACTGAGCCAAGGCGAATTTATACAAGGTGGTGTTACTGGCGACCATGCGGTCGTCCACCGCTCGCCCCAAGGTGAATTCAAGGCGAACTTATACAAGGTGATAGCCAAGGCGAATTTATACAAGGTGGTGTTACTGGCGAATTTACATTTTCGCCGCGGTACTTCCTAATGTCAAAATGATGTGTTTCTTGTAAACAAGGCGAATTTTGAACAAACACATAATTCTGACATTCAGAAAATCTAAATTCGCCAGTAACACCACCTTGTATAAATTCGCCTTGAGATTGGACAAAACCACCCCACCTTGTATAAATTCGAAAGTGTAGTGGGGTAGCACATTTTTAAAATTTTCATATATTGTATATTATATATTTTTTGGAAGTCGGTTAAAAATAAATAAAATCAAAATAAAGCAAAAATAAATAAAATTATTTTGAAAATTTAGATTAAATTTAGAAAATATATACTTACATATGGGCACATCCTGGGTTACGGACATGACATTCGAACGACGAAAACTGAAGTCATTTGTAAAAAAATTTGCCATTGGGTAGCTTTTATGCCGTGCTTTGGTTGACAAAAAATTAGGTGCGCTTGCAATACTGACGTGGAAAAAATCGATGAAAAGAAGGGCATAACGGATGCGACAAAAACAGAAGTGATTTCAGAGTACATGTAAAAATAAGCAAAACTCAGCGAATCCTGTAAGGTTTTGCTTTATTAAACATTCTTTAAATAAAGTCAAATTATGAACCATTACAATCAATTAATTTTTAATCAGAAGCAATTCGATCTTGATTTAATTTTGTATTAAAATCTGGTAACGGACGTGACAGATTTTTCCCCCCTACAATATTTTTACTAGTAACACATACTAAATTTAATTTTTTCAGATCTTCTCTCTACCGCCTCGCGTTTTGTAATCCTTTTTTGGCCATCTGAATACGAAATTTGAAGTTATACAGCCGTTTGAATTCATTTATTTGCATTTTCGGTTTACCTTTTTTGGGAAATTACCATATGGGGTATTATGTATATCTGAATGTTGGATAAATTTGGTGAAAAGAAAATTATTGAACAGGAAGATTGACGTTTCATATGACCCTGACGGTTAAATGAACCCCACATATATATGATATGTTAGCTGATCGTAGAATTTTCCGCTCTTTCTGAATTCGAGATAAAAAAGGAGGGTTACCACTTAAAAAAAAAATCAACATGTTGACCTCGAGGTGACCTTGAAATTTACCCTCACGTTATTTTGCCACTCGGCATTGGAAAGTTTGTTTTATTGAATGAATTTTCAATATTTTTAAAAGAGTTTCAAGTTAAAAGAAAAGTGGGCAGGAGGGGGTTACATTCAGAAAAAATACCACTTTTTAACAATAAAATCTAAAAATTAAATTAGAAAAAGAAAGAAATTAAATCAAAAAAGAAGAAAATAGTACTCAAAAGAAAATAATAGAAATACATACATACATATATATTTTTTGTTTTTTATTTTGTGTATTTATATTAAAAGTAATAAATATTTTAATACATACATGTTCCTTGAATATCTGGTGGATACTATTTTAGTTTTAAAATATGAGCATTGCCTTAAGTAAATATTATGACCATATACATATTTGCGTTTTCATGGGATTATTTTATACATACTTAGGTATTATTTCGGCATATTTATAAATTCTACACTGGCAAAAATAGTTATATTTTCCAATACCTTCATGTATGTACATACAGTGGCGGGAAAATAAATAGGGGCGCGACATTTTAACAAGCTTTGCCTTTATTATTTTGTTTATTTAATGATTTTTTTTATAAAAGTATGGCTCACTGTCTAACAAAAGCCATGCATATCCGAATCTCCAACTTTTAACAAAAATTACGAAAATTTCATAAAAATTTCAAACATGTTCAGCAGACTTAAAAAAAATGTTGATATGCAGATTTGTAGCCCACTAAATTTTACAAAGTATGTTCGACAATTTTTTATATGGAGGAAAATGCACAACACCCTCAGCAAAAAAAACAAAACTCAACGGTAAGTCCTAGCTGTTTAAAACTTGCACTTTATTCTACTTGATGGATTTCTAAATTGCATATCTATATTTTTTTTTTAAGTCATTGATATTAGGGCGTATTCTTGTTTTCGTACGAATTGAAAAACATGAAAGTTTCCTATAATTTTCTATAGAAAAAGTTCAAATTTTCTATTCGTATAAAAACCAGAATACGCCTCATCATTTCTACAAGGTCTTTTTTTTTGTTATCCTACCTTTTCTACTTTTGTATTTAATAATGAGGTGTCATTTGAAGAGGAAGAGGTCCCTCTAGTGATTATTACTTAGATAATATTAATGCACATCTCAACTAGAGATGGGCACGGAACTAAATATTTAGTCCCGATCCCGCCCATGAAATTAAATTTTTAAGTCCCGAACCCGCCCATCCCGACGTTTTTCCTAATTGTACCGTGGATCCCGTGGGTCTCGAAATCTATCACTAAGAAAAATTAACGTGTCTTTTAAATTAATTTTAAATAACAAAAAAAAAATGATATCTGGCATCTTCCGATTATTTTGTTTTGCTTTGCCGTTCGTTTTCGTCCCAAAAAAAATATTTAAAAAAGTGCATAATTCACACATCGTTTTTAAGGAAGACTTCCCGAATTTGCTGAGGTTGCGGTTTTATCAGGAGTGTCGGGAAAGGATTTTGGTCCAATCCCACCCGGAAAATTTCACAGACCTTCCCGATACCGCCCATCGCGGCCAATTTAAAATCAGTACCGTCGGTCTCGCGGGCCCCGATATCCCGCGCCCATCTCTAGTCTCAACTAATTAAAGATATTTGCGTTAAATATCTAACCTCACGTCATCAGATCTGCATCAATCGTTCATTATAAAGGTATTTATAAAGTTAAAGATAAAGAAGAAGTTATAAAAGTAAAGGCAAAGGGGAACTAACAGATAAAATAAAAAAAAATTTCAAAATATAGATGAAGATGTAGATTAAGATGGTGAAGTTAACATCTTCATAAAGATGAAGACAAAGTTGACGATGAAGTTAAGATTAAGTTGAAGACTAGGACTAATTTACTTTCTCCGAACGTAAGCAATTACACTAAAAGTATTTTGTACTGAAGCACCATTGTGACTGGAGCATTGCATTTGACAGTGCTGGGCACAACAATAAGAGAGAAAAAATAAGTAGAAAGTAAGTAGTATTGTGTTTAGTCTTAGAACCGTAAATTTATTTGTGAAAAAATTAGCTTGTATATTCAAAGAAAAAAAAAAACAGGCGTAAGGTTTATGTTTATCAAGCCTTCTATATATTTATGAAAAAAAATCAATATTTCATCATAATAATGTTACACGTGTTAAGAAAACATTAACAAAATCACCGTTAGGAATAAACTATTCCTCAATAATTTAAAGTTTCTTATATAATGTATAACGATATAACACGTATAATTTGCAGCAGTCCATAATATTAAAACAGTAGGGGTATTCTCCAAATTTTGCAAAGCCATTGCACGTAGCACGGATTGCATGGATTGCATAACTTGCAAACACACAACAACAAAATACAAGAGTAAGACACTAAATAACACCATCTATCCCTCAACTCATGACACTCATACATATACATATTAGTCGGTTTTTAATAAGTTTTTATGTACCTAATAAATATAAGTTCTGATGTACTATAAATCTCATTCATGGTTAGTAAAGTTTAAGTAAAAACAGTTTTTAAGAATAATACAATTTGTTATTTAAACGAATTATTACTTACTGTTATTTTTTTGTATACACAGCTTGAAAAGTCTGATTTTATCTGTTATTATAAAGAGGGCCGAGCTTACTGTCAATTTCAGACTGCGCAGTTTGCCGTTTGAAGTTCATCGAAGGTTTAATAAATCTTTTACAAAGTTTGAAATTTTGACTTACATGGTTTTTGTTAGATAGTGAGCTATACTTTTACAAAAATATAATAAACAAAAGAAAATAGCCAAAACTGGTTATAATGTCGTGTTCCTATTTGTTTACCTGCCACCGTACATATACGGCGTTTCTAAATATTCTCAGGGTAATTCTCGTTCTGCGTTATTATTTCGGTGTGAATTTTTGACTTTTCACTTCACTTCACGATAACGCAGAATGGCAATTGACCCCCTGATCAATGTTAGGATAAATACATTCATACATAGATATTAAGGCATTTTACATAAACACAAGTAGATTATATTTCGCACACGCACTTCAAAGGTGACACAACTCAAAATTTGTCATTTGTGAAATTATGCGCTACAAAAGTTCAAAGACTGTTTATATAGCTTTCACCAAAAGGTGGGGCAAAATTTTGTTGTAATTAAAACTATATCTAATAAATTTATAAGTCTCTCTTGCCCATATGATTAACATGTGCTATGAAATAATTTTTTGCGTTTTTTAGCAAACGGGTAATTTTTAGTTGTGACACCTTTGAAGTGGATTTGCGATATATTTCTATGTACACATATAGTTTACATTTAATACACATTTAATACAATGCTGTATGTACACATTTTCGTTTGCAAAGTTATGCCCCTACATACTACATAGCACATACAATACGTACTAATAAAAATTTGTGAGAGCACCATTTAATATACATTGTCATTTTTTCGCCTCATAGCATTGGTCACAAACCCGTACCGGCTTCCCCGATTGCCCCAGATCCGTGAGTAGCGGCAATGTGTGCTCCGAGCATGAATTGCAAAAAATGTCACCACAACTGCGACAGTGATGTTTCCGTCGCGTCAAGCCAAATTCTTTTTTGCATGAAGTGCAATGTGTGGCTATCGAATCCGGCGCCCATATCCCAGCGCTGGCCACTTCTGATGGCGACTGTAGCGATAGGTCTGAGCAGCGTAGCTGTTGTTGTCTTCTTTCGCGGTCTTCTAGTTCAGATACCTTTAATTTGCTGACACTTAACTGTATGCCTAATTCTTCGAGTGTTGTTTGTGCCTCCGACCATTGTGTGCGCATTTTATCAAGTTCAGCACGCAGTTTAGTATGTTGCTGAGAGTCGTCGGTGAGCTCCTTAATACAAGTTTGCAGATTACTAATTTTTTCCTTCAATTTTACTTCCTTTTCTTGTAAAGAAATTCGCCATTCGCGTTCTATGCGAGATTCGGCTTCGGCACGAGCGGCGCGCTCATCACACGCAGTCACCTGAGTTGCCAAGGTTTGTGAGGTGTTTCGTAGTACCTCACCCAAATTAGTTTTATCGGCATCCCATCTGTTTGTGAATGTTGAAAAATGATATTGGATTAAGAAAAAGAAAGAAAAAAAGTTTAAGTAGTGGGGATTTAATTCTTATGTTATAATCTACTATAATGATTGTTCATTAATTATCGAAAGTGTGAAACTATGAGACCTTCATCAAAAATACACAGTCAAAAATTAAACTTTTAACTTCGTTCCTATGTACATTATTACGAGTACTTCTGAACCCAAAATGTATGTAATTGTACATGCATACATACAAAAGTATGTACATAGGTATCTATAAAGTACGTTCTATAATTATACCACAGATAATAAGCCATTTTCGGATTGCCACTAAAACCACATTACGCACTTTATAAATCCAAATTGAAAATCAATGGCATCCCTTCCGTTTTCAATTATCGTTGCGTTCCCCAACTTTTCTGGGTTAAAACCTGTAAAACTGTCAAAAGGCAAAAGAAGCCAGAGAACCGAGTACGGGAACGCTTTCTGGTAAATTCCTGTAAATTCTTGCAACTTCTTGCGAGTTAGGGAACGCAACTTATATTGCTTTCAAACCAATCCCGTTACCGTTTATGATATGTAGTTATAAAACATATTGATACCCTCATTGTTGTGCAGTTATTTTCGTTTTATAACTACATATCGAGTAAAGCCCTCGCTCGTTGAAACTGGCGCAGTCGGCAACTTTAGATCTATACCTGAGAAACAAACAAAACACTTTTTATATAAAGCATAACAGAGCAAGTATACCCAATCCGATTTTTTTCTTGTGTGTGCATTATGGCTGAAATAAGCACTTTTTGCAGCCAAAAGTCCCATTTTCAGTTTTTGCGTTTAAAATTTTTAACAGTCGAACTGTATTATAGATACTCTAACTAGAAAAGAAATTATAAATTTGTTATGGCAAGGTAACCCTGGTCCCC